CCATGGCCCAGGACCTTTTCATGTCATGTATTTTTGACTCATTATTCTGGAAATTGGGAGACAGAACGTCATAATAAGAAATGTACTAAAAACATGTGGCGAATCAGCAATACCTACCCACTACAGGAACGTTTCCATATAAAATAATGCACGCGTAAGAGGTTAAGGATCTTGATCCGCACGAATTCGATCAGAAGCCACTGTGAGAAATGCGAAAACTTGCACAGAATGTAATTCTGATGACCGCTGTACTTCAATTCCGGTTCAGTTGAGGAAAATGTGTCAAGGAGTCAAAGAGGGAAGTCGGGGAATGAAAAAAAGTGGGGCGAACTCACACATACGCAAGCACGTACACAATTCAGCCCTTAGGATGTTCTATGACTAAAAACAGAGGATGTCGATGATGGTGACACAGGTGATGCGATGTAGCGGAGCGAGCAAGGCTGTAACTGCTATGAAGCTAGACTGCATCCGCAACTGGGCAATGGAATTTTTGGATCCAACCACTCCTCGCCGTGCTCCTGGGGAATAGAGGCGACATCGGTAGCCCCGAGGGAAATGACTCGGCCCATGAAGGCGAATGGGAGTACCTGGACCGCGGGAGGTGAACACCTCTACGGGTACAGTTAGCCGGGCCCTAGGGCGGTTTCGGTTCGAGCATTGGCACTCTTAACATACTCACTCATTCACCTTCCATGACCATGTCCATCTCACTCCTCCGAGAATTATTACCATGAAAATTATCTCCTTCTCTCCTGCATTCCAGTTCCTCCCTCCCATCCTCCCTTGACCCAAATATCATATTCAATTAATTCCAGCAGCTTCCCTCTACTGGTCATACTCTTCAAAGGAATGTGACGTGCCTCTTAGAAGGCACATGAAAGTTGAGAATGACTCATTTCTATTCCCAGGATTCCATTATGCAGTCCCTCTCAATGGAATCCCAGGTGGGGTTAATTGCAGGAGTTTCTCCAGATGCGAGAAGTCGGCCTCGTATGTGCCTCGGACAGGCGCACCACACTTTCTCATAAGTATAATTAGACTCCTTTTCCTCGTTTTGTTCGTGTCTCTGCCGTTGTGAAAGTGAAAGCCGAGTTCGCAGAATGGAAGACCGATTGCCGATTCGAGATATGATGAAAAGAGAAACGGGAAGCGGGGAAACTCGTCACCAGCCTGGTCTGCCGAGAAATAATAACTGGTCGCATCCAACTTTCGTCTCCTCGGCCTCGGGCTGATGCAGATGAGAAAAAAGAATGCTGCAGACACCGTCTCTCTCCCTCGCAAACCACAATCATCATCCTCGTCCGCCCCTTCTCCAACAGCTGACACTTCTCGCATGGAAGAGGCGACAAAGCGAGACATCCTTAGCTCGTGTACAAGATTTCGTCTTCTTACATTTTTCTTCTTCGATCCGGTAGACGCAGCAGAAGAGACAACGATGAGAGGCTCTGAGAAGCCAAGGATAATAAATGGAGGGCACGAGTCAATTGAAGCTGAACTTTGTACTCCTTTTCTCTCTCTCTCTCTTTCGGTCTTCCATTCGCATTCCTGCCTCAGATACGAGGAGGGAATGTGGGGCAAAAATTGGACATTCTAATGATTGGTTGTTACGTCTTCCCTTGTGGTTCGGAAGACGACCGATGAGAAAGGCACTCGCTGTCGAATATCCAAACACGAGTGACAAATATGTAGGTGAGCCGTTGGAGTAATTAAGGTTGGGAAAACGGTTCATGGTCAAAAAGCAACTGGAAGCCAGAACGCACCTTCGTGCATTTATGCGCATCTCCTACAAGAGGGAGAAAGCGCCGAACGCCCTCAGAGTCATGAGTTCAACATCTAACCGCTCGCTTTCAATCGCATCAGCAATCATTCTTGACTCGACTGAAGATCGTATGAATCCTAACGAGTGACGACAGTTGCATCGTCATTGCTTACAAATGGGCGAATGGGGCTATATTCACTATCTCACACTGCGGGCTGCTCATAAGCGTTTGGCAGACTTCATTGTGCACCTTCAACGAGGGAGACCCCGTATGAAAGAGAAATTTAATGGGTCAGTATGTGCCGGCAATAAGTATCGTAGAGTGAAGCCAAAGGCCTGAAAAGGGTTTCGAGACGTTCTCGCCCGCGAACCACTTTCTTGATTCTTCTCGGTTTTGGTTCATTGAACATCCCCTCTATCACCATCATGCGATCGATTGTTTGCGGAAAAATCCCATGACGTCGGCTTCATTTCCTTTCCAGGTCTCCATGGACAATTTAGGATACCTCTACACACTCTCATCGCGCCTCCTCTTATCGATTCCCACCTCTGAAACGGAAGACCCGCCGTAGCCTTTGCCCTACAAGAGGTTTCTTTAGAACTGCAGGATGAGCCGTATCGATTGCACTTGATCGCGATCCTCCCATGCATGCTCGTCATTCTCACCTCTAACAGTTCCATCGTGTAGCACGTAAGTCAAGTTTGAAAGCTTCGTTTCACGGCAGTAAGCGAACCGTCAATGGCATTTTAAATCAGTGGACTGAAACTCGATGCAAACTCGCCTCAGGCGACGATATAACCTTGGAACTGCCCCCCCCCCCCCACGGGGAACGAAAGGATTACTAGTCAGACCTTCCGAAACCGATTGGCTCTCTACCAAGGATCCATCCAGAATGGTGTAATATCTCCTGAAGTCCTCAATGTCAGCTCAGGAATCGCTTCCACTTTTTAAGCACAGAGATCAAGAGGTTGAATACAAAGCATCAGCCAGATTAAACTTCATTCGGCGACAGTGTAATTTTTTCTTACAAACAATGACACTGTCGCTGTTGTACGAAGTTTGCGCAAAGAAGAAGGAATGAGCTCATGGTAATCCATTCCTTCCAGGATACTTATAAATAAATAAATAAAAAGTCGGTTTCCATACTGTAAATAAAGAAAGAATATTTATTATTATTTTACAGCATCTGAAGACTGAAGCAAGACTTGAATAGTCATCGTTTCACTTTCCCATTATTGAATGGCCTTTTTATTTTTCCTTCGAGGAAGCATCCGAACCTGAGTAAGAACGCTTCGCCTCATCACGGAAGGCATATCTTCAACTAGGAAATGATCCACAACTCAAGGATGCACAGTGCCATAATGTGTTCCGTATTGAAGAGTGTATGCAGGTGCAGGATATGGCATGAATGCAGAAACCTCGTTTAGGGAGATGAGGAGCCTTTGACCCTTTCGTGGGCCGTGGGAATCATACCTCCCATAGCATGAATTCTTATTGGAGAAGATTGGCGTTGGGAAGCCCGCTTCCCACTGATACCGGTAGGGAATCGTACTTCCCAACTAATATGCAAATGATTTATGACTAGGGTTGCCACCCGTTCATAATTAGTATGGACAGTACATATTTCAGATGCAATGTCCATATTGAAAACTGAACCTAATATGGACGCTGTTTTGTCCATATTTTAGACTTAAGATTTTATTACTTAATAAAGTTTAATAGCTAATATCGTTATTTTCCATAAGTCAAACGCAGTAGGCCACGCTCATAGTATTGATTGGCGCCTTGGCTTAAGGTGACCGTGGGTATATTTCAAATAATTGTCTATATTTTGTTCAATTCATAGGTGGCAACCCTATTTATGACTAATAAAACATGGAATCTCTCTCATGCTTCTGTGTAATTTATTTGATAGAAGGAAAAAAAAGCAGGATAATGCGCCAACTTTCCAAGTAAAACTTGCCCACGAAAGGAGCTAAAGAGCTCTTATCCCCCCATAGGAGTCCATGAATTCTTAATGGACCGTTACTTAAACGAAGTTTCAGCATTCGGGTCTATATGTTCTCATGACTTTCATTATTTCCATATGCACATTATACGCGAAGGTTGCGGACTACGTTGGGATATGGCGCATTTGCGGACCTTGTGCCTCATGCCTCTGCCATCGTATCGTGTCGGAAGACCTCAACTCTGAAATGGATTGACGCATTTTGGATATTCAAATGGGGGGGGGGGAGGACTAACCGCAAAGTTTGCAGGGGGGAGCTGACGGCACAAGTATGATTCATGGGTGACCTCAATCACAAAGGGGTATTTGAACGCTCCAGCCTCAACCCCTCTCCTTCCCCTTAGCTGAAATAATAGATAATGTGGATGATGCCTTCCGTTCTATTTCTGTCGGATCATCGTTGAGATCGCAAGGAGAGAGTGGCATCACAAAAGACGAACTGACTTCTTTGTATCTTCACGTTTCATGGCGTATTCGGTTGGGCGGAATAATAAAACACGAAGGAGCCCATTGTAATATAAAATGCCCCGAAAAGTGCGGGAATGGGAACGTGAGAAAGAATGCCTTTCCCTACATTAAAAAAAAATCTCTGACACCTTCAGAAGAAAAAGGAGAAAACGAAATGAAGGTCAAGGGTAGGAAACTAATTGGAATATCCAGGGCAAAAGTTACTGGGAAGGAGGCGGAAGAGAGCTCGCAGGGAGGACAATTGAAGATGATCGACCGATCCAAGCTCTACTGATTTTGGACGGCGATCGTTACCCAAAAAAAGTAACTCGTTACCGAAGCTCGTTCCTTTCCAAAAAAAATTGTACCTTGTTACTATCACTAGTTACTTTTTCAATAAGTAACTGTTGTTTCTCCTGAATTGAAACTTTCGAAGTTGTCCATGGAACCAAGGGAATAGGCTTTTGGAACTGCCATCCCCGACGACATCATTCCCCAACTGCGTTAAAGTGATGCTTAAGCAGGGACGTAAATTCATTTAAAAAAATGTAATGGGGGGAGAGTTTAAATGGGAGGGTGGGTTAGCTGGTGTTCCAGAATAAGGGCGCTTTTATGGGCCTAGAGTCTCTTCGCGTCCGGTACCATATTGTAACGTCTATCACCCTAATACCATGACAGATAGGACACGTTATAGAAGATTGCAGGATTATTATAGTTGGACAAGATAGGGAATGACGACTTTGTGTTTTCACCACTAGGGTAAATTAACCCCTTAAGTGCATATGACGTACGTTAAATATAAATGTGAAACTGGAAATTGGAGTATAAACTTGAAAATGAGAAATAAGTTTATTTTACAAACACCAATTATTACTCTCACGAAAAAAAGTCCTGACTTCGGTTGTAGCCATTTGTCAAAGAAATTCCCCACTTAAGGGGTCAACCACCAGCAAAGATCAAATAGAAACATCACAGATTTTTCTGAGTTCATCTTTCAATCAAAGATATCATCCATGCGACTTTCGTCCTGTTATAAGGGCTGGCCCTAAAGACTCGGACATTTCTGTTTATGAATAGTGAGAAGGGCAGAGTCTGATGACAACCCTGCTTCTGCATGTCTGCCCTCTTAGCGCACGTGATCAAAATCATGGTCCAGAATACCTATTCTAAGAACCATGCCAAAACCGTCCGATGACAGATAAAGCATTTGCTGTTTTTTTTCTCCCTCAGGTTTCAGGGAGTTTCTGGATTGCTTGAAGTTTATAAAAGGATGGGGGATGCAACTGCGAGGAGAGAGCGACGGAGACAGAGGATATTGGAGAATAGCGAGAATCGAATGAAACGGATCACAGGAGATGTCCAATCATGGTCTGATGCAAAGTCACAACCGACTTCCCCACATTCCCAGTCGTCTTTCCATCATCCCATAGATACAGGTCATCAATCTAAAATTGAAATAATTTAGACCTAAGGGTTAAAGTCATTCTTGCTTTTTGGAAAGTGACAGGCCTCTGAAGGCATAGACTCAGCGAAGAAAGTAAGTGGGAATGGCATTTCTGAAAGCTTTTCCCGAGGGAGGGGGAAACACTATTCCTGTACTTCTACCAATCAGCGTACATCACTGCATAGGCCCAATGAAGAAACTCACCTAATGACTATAAGCAACATAATGTTTGAACTATGTTGAGACATATTAAGAGGTTTTATGTGAGAGAATTATCTGTCTATTTTTAGATACTGTCATGAGGGAGCACATGCCCAGAGAGCCAAGTCAAGGAGGAATGGAAAATCCTGACATTTCATCTAGCTATGAGCCTGAAGCACTCAGTAATCCTAGGCAGAGAACTGTAAGTAGAGATGGTCTGACACTGAGAAAAGGTTAAAGAAGTAACTGATGGATAAAAAATGAAAAGGAAACCAGCTTCTATTTTTTTATTGCTTGCAGGTATTCACAAGAAAAGTAGACAGTATGGAGCCCAGTCATATGTCCCAGATTACTGAACTCCAAACATCCAATCAAAAGACAGATGTGATCAATGACCCAGTTTTTGCACTCCTGCTGAACTTCTTGGGAGAAAAAAATATTCGTGAGAAGCTTGTCTTGATTCTTGCTTCTCTTGTCAACATCCTCATATTCTTGAACTTTGGATCCTGGTTCTATGAGGCAAGCTTATCTCTCTAGTTTTGTCTTTATTCTTCTCTCTAGTTACATCTTTACTTATTGAAGCCTGAGTCATGGTTTTAAAGTTAACTTATACATAAGTATGGCCATTGTCAGTTCCTCTTTTTCAAGAAACCCAATCAGTTGATGGTGTTTCTCAAGGCCCCAATGGCAAATTCTTCAGGCCCACTCTGTATGTCAGGGCTAATTACAACTCTTCTGCCTCCTTTTCTTCAAGGGGGAATTGAGTCAGGTGAATTTTGTGATGAATGTTGTGCAGTTGGTAATATCTTGCATGCCCTGAAATATCTCCAAAGCTACAGTCCTTCCTATCACTCTTTCCCTTATATTTTCATAAGATGGTGAAGGTAAGGTGATCATTACAATGTTGTTTATCCTTGCTCATGTTGAATAATCAAGGTGGTAAGTGAATCTGTTGATCATCAGATTTCAAAATAAAATGAAAAGCTCAAGATTCAGAAAGCCTGCCCAGATGCCCTGCTGTTCTTTTATAAGCCATCTTTGTAATCCTTGCGATGTTTCAAGTAGATGGTAGATGACTGATTTACTAAAATACATCTATATTAAGATACATTTTATTATTTCATAGACATATCTTACCATCCAAAAAATGATGATAATTGACAGCACTGATAAGCACCAACAATCTTATGATGATAATATGACTGTGCATGAGCACAATCTATATGTCAAAGGAATGGTGTTTATATCTCCAGCTTCTGTCCACTAACTTAGCTCTACCCTAGTCCATTCATCTTATTAAATTTCTATCAGTTGATCATATGTGACCCTATTCCTCTCAAAATGACATAATTTCTGACTCAGATGAGGATACTCATGTCTTGCTGAAGAGATCAAGTCCTTTCTCAAGAACTTGCAATTATCTTCAGATATTATGGAAGGAAGCCCCAGACCAGCAGTATTCAAAGTGTGGCCTGTGGACCACATGCTTAATGATTTTATGCAGTCCTCTTAGAATAACTAATTGACTTTTTCACATTTAACCGTTTTAAAGCCATTTATTAGCAATCACAATGTACACTTTTTAAGTTCCAGATTTTGAATCCTTCACTGAAAACTAGCAAGTTTAATGATTCTTTAGATATTCAGATACTAATAATTATGCATGTTTACATTTTGATGATTATGTATTTAGGTGTGTACCTGCTGAACTTGCCAAAAATTCAGAGCACCCATATACTGCATAGGAACAATGTATTTCCTTGCAAGTAAATAAAGTTAAGGAGAAAAAAAAAGAAGAAAAAAAAAACTACTAACAAAGCAGCACCTACAACTGATGCAATTACATGAGCCCTGAGTCTAAATAGTGGCAATTTCCATGACTAAGAGAGGTGGAAGTGTGTGTGGATGCAGCAGGAATAGGCAGTTTTCTATTTCTGCTAATTTTTTAGATGGGACTTAGATTCAGAGTAGCTTGACAAAGAAGTTAATTGCCAGATAACCATGCAGAAGTATTGGATCTTTTTCAATGCAGCCCACTTGAGGTGGACCAGTGTCTGTGAGGCCCTCACCTTAAAAAGTTTGGGGACCAATACCCTAAGACAGATGCATACACACCAGATAGTACAAATAAAACATCCAGGTACTATAGTACCTAGATTGTTTTTTTTAAATGATGGTATGGGATGGGATGGATGGCAGTTATCCCTTCTCTGATCACCAACAGAGTTAAAAAGTGTCAACTTGGCAGGCTACAAGCAATGAGTATGTATTTTGGGGGGATATGGAAAATGATGGTAAATTAGTTTACTTTTTATGACAAAATGTTGGGGGGGCATTATTGTTGAGTCCGGTTGGCAGTCCTATGGCAATGCTAGTCAGACCCATGGTTGATATTATCAACCCTGGGTGATAAGTAGGCTATGCTAAAAAGGGCTGCAGTGAGGGGAGGAGGGGGAACTGCTGCTGGTTGTGACTCATTCATGTCCATGAATGCATTGCAATCATTCATTCAGGCACACAACTCTAAATGACTGCCACCTGCACACCCATGCATGTGCAAGCTTCCTTAGCATCATCACCCTGATTTCAGCTGGAAATTAGTGATAGTGATTATTGAGTATCTGAGAATCTGATTTTAATGTGATAAATGTCTGTGCCTTCTGGAAGTCAGTGGCATAGCAGTTTTAGAAATGGCATAGCAGAACTGAGACTAGGAAGGCATGATGTCTGTCCTTATGTGTTGTTTCGTGTCCACTGTTTTGTCTGCTTCAAAAGGTATGTACCATTTGTTCCATGCCACATGATTTTATATTCCATTTGTTTTGAAAATAAATAAAGTCAAACTAGGCAAGAGTCAGTGCTGAGTAAAGGAGAATCCTTGTTTTGATTCATGGATTATCCTCCTAGATACTAGGTTGTCCCAAAAATTCTGGGGCAGCTGCGGAAAAATCAATTTTAATGCTCGAATTCAAATAAAAATCAACAACAACTATTCTTCAAAATAAAGGCCGTCGTTCTCAACGATCTTCTGCCATCGATCTGCAAGCATCCGGATCTGCTTGAAGTACCATACTTTGGGCTTCGAGTAAAAAAATTCCTGACACGCTTCCTTGACTCGATCAAAAGATTCAAAGCACCGTCCTCACAGAGAGTGTTCCATAGATCGAAACAGGCCAAAGTCGAATGGAGCAGTATCAGGACTGTAGGTGGGATGTGGCAGAACTTCAACTCCTTCCAACTCCTCGAACTTCTCCTGCGTCATTCTTGCACGGTGAGCAGGGGGCGTTGTCCTGCTGAAATAAAGCTCGCTTGCATCGAATCAAGACCGGGCACTTCTCCTTCAGCACGTTGTAGACTCGGTCCAGTTGCTCGGTGTACAGCTGGGCATTCACAGCTCGACCATTCGGAACCAGCTCAAAGTGGACCACGCCCTCAAAGTTCCACCAAACCGAAAGCATCACCTTTTTGCCAAAACGATCCAGTTGAACTGTTGGCTGCGCTTCTTGACCTCGTGGGACCCACTGCTTTTGCTTGTTGTGGTTGACCAAATAGACCCACTTCTCGTCGGATGTCACAATGCGCTTCCAAAATCGGTAATCCAATGGGTTCTCGAGCAACTGACGACAAATCTCGACTCGCTTCCGGGCCTGTGCTTCTGTCAGCTCATGAGGATCCTGCTGGGGCTTTTTGTGCACAAAGTCGAGATGTTGGAGATGACGATGAACCGTTGACTTGCCAACTCCAAGAACCGCCTCCAAGTCTCGAGTGCTTGACGATGGCTCGTCTTCCAAAGCGGAACGCAATGCATCCTCGTCAAATGTTGATGGTCGGCTGGAATGAGGCTTGTCTTCGAGGCTGAGGTCGCCGTCATTGAACTTTTTGAACCAGCGTGCAGCGGCCGATTTGCTCATTGTTCCTTCTCCTTTGACGTCGTAGATTTCCTTGGCAGCAGCTCTTGTGGAAAGTCCTTTCTTCTAGTAGTGACGCAACAAAACACAAACCTTGATAGTATCGCCCGACATCCGATTTTTCTGCAGCTGCCCCAGAATTTTTGGGACAACCTAGTAATGTTCAATACCATAACTGAATTTTAGCTTCAGAGAATCAAACCAGATAAAGATTTGCCATTCCATAGGTCACTATAGGCCAGGGCTTCCCAAAATCATATTTGAGGTTGTGAACCAGCAACTAAATGCCAAGTTATGTTTTTCTTCGCAATTTCAGTACATAGGTGGGGAAGCCTGTTGAACTTTGACCAGTGCTTGGGGTCCTGAATGGTATGATCGCAATTTTTGGGGTCACAAGTGAAAGAGGTTGGGAAGCCTGCCATAGGCACTGGTTGCTATAATACTGGTCACCCAAGACACTATTTACAACCAAATCGCTCCCACCCAAATATTGGAGAAAGTTTCACTGGCAGTCTTTGTTATTTACAACTGTGATAGCTCTTGATTTTACAGGAAATTCCTTTTCTGAGAAAAAAAATCTTGTCATCCAGAGTTGAAATGGTGAGTGTGATAAACTTGCTGCCTTTTTTTTTTCCAGCTATGCCTGATGCCTTTCTCCTTGCTGGAGGTGTGGCTGGCACATGTAGATATGAGATCATTGGCACCAAAAACAGAGGGAACCCATGTACTGTCTGCAGCATTGGTCCTTTCAGGTCTTCCAGCACCCAAAGTTTCCCTATTCCTCAAATTCACCAATATTGTGTCACGGATTGGCACTGATCTTGCCCTCTACATTTTTAGCATTGCTACATTCCATAAAGTCAATGACTACTTCTTGCACGTCCACAATGATGCATTCTCATAAAATTATTGTGTACAAAATTTATTCTTGTTCCTGGGTCTTTTTCAAGTCCTCTCATTCTATCATGTGAATTGATGAATGCATGCAAAGGGAGATCACCAAATAAAAAAACCAGCATATACAAATAAAGAACTGGGTTGACAAAGTAAACTCAACTACTACAAAAGCAGATCTATATCCATATGATTCTCACATGTCTATAGTTTGCTGACGAAATTCTAATTGAAAAAAAAAACCATTATCCTGTCATTCAGCTAAGTGATGAATTATTGAATGAAATTGAAACATGCACTTGACACTGTACCAGTGTTTTCCTCAATAGCAACTTCATGTAATCCAAAACGTCATTCAAATCTCAATAGAGCCCTATATAATCAGGAGGCATGAGGACACCTGGATTCATAGTATCCAAACAGCTGCTGTTGAAACAACCATGCTGAGAAAAAATATAAGTCAGCACTTCAGTTTAAGAGTCTATGCAGGGCACAGGGTTTTCTTGGAAGCCCAATATTTGCCAAACCATTATCATCTTGGTGTACATGAACTGAGGCAAACTGTCTCTCCTGAGATCACAAAAGGCTGGGTAACAAGAGAAATCATCACAAGAGGCAGGAGCAGCAATAACTAGCCCAGTGTCTTGAAGGGATCATGGTGCACACGAAAGATCTATCCTCTCTTCCCTTCAGCCTCTTCCCCTTTCTCTTTTTTCTTCTTCTTTTTTCCCTTGTCCTCCTCTTTGTGAGTCTCCTCTCCAATAGAGGAATCCAGACGAGCTTTCCCACGTACCACATCAACATGTCCCTGCTTTACCATTTCCTCCTCCCATGAACGTATCTCCTTCTCATACCTTGCCTTTGCTTTCTGACTTTCTTCCACATAACTAAACTTCTCCTCATTTGACATGGCATTCCATTCTGCTGCACGTTGCTTCAAGAAATTCTGAAAATACAAGTAATGAAGTCAAATTGGTCTTGTTCCATCAACAAAAGAACATAATGTATGAAACTCACTGAGTCTCCTGGTTTCCTAGGAGCAATGTCAGTCTTTGACTGAATGTACAGTGCAAAGGCAGTCTTGGGTCTTTTAGGCTTTTCCAGTTCCTTCATCTTCTGCAAAGAGGTTACAGATAGGCGATTTTAAATTGGCCTTTGCAGCCACAATTTTTTTAATTTAGATTTACTGTTTTCAGCTTCTGTCTGCATGAGAACATAATGGAAACTTCAACATATTGACTTTTGTTGCTCATTTAATTAGGCATTTGGTATATATTTTGTGAACATCAAGATGCAATGTGTTAAAGAAATCTTCAATTGCCATGATAAAAGTAGCACTATGAGATACCATAGTGTGGCCATGACTAAGGGGCTGAGAGGTTTCCCACTCTGAACAGAAAATCTTGTGGCACTATTCCCTCTATTAATGCAATATTTGTAAATTGATAATAATAAAAAATGTGGTTTCAATCTAGTTCTCAATCAGCAGTAACTAAAAGGAATAGAGAAAAGTTTGTATCGCTGACAATGACCTGCATGCAATTTTTAAATATAAAAAATGATATTATGCTTAAAAATACTCATATCCAAGAGGTTAATCAATATTTTCTTACCTGGCGGAGCTCAGACTTCTGCTTGCGAACTTGACGTTGAACCCTCATCTTATGACGCTCCTCTCGTAGCCTTGCCTTGTCTTCTTCTGAAATACCTTCATAGTATGCTTGGAGCTTCTCTTTGAACTGCCTCTGTGCTTCCTGATACCCACCTTCATACTTTGCTCGCTTCTCCACACTCATTTCTCTCCACATCTCTGCTATTTGTCGAGTCACTTCTGAAATGGTCATCCAAACATTCTTTTCCTCCAATTCTCCTAATTAACCCACAATTTTGACAATGGAGATTGGACAAACCACGAGGAGAGAGTTCAGGGTCTTCATGAATAAGCTCTATCCTTTTTTGGAGCCAAAAGTTAAAATATGGTGTATGAGGTCGCTGAGGGGGTTCAGGCAAACCAAGCATGGATTCCAGTGATTTCTTCTGCCCTATGCCACAAACCAGGCTGCTTGAGAAAGTCCTTCAAATCAACGAAACAGAATTAGGCTTTGCCATTTTCAAGCTGAAACCAACAATAGACATAGTATATTAGGCTATGAACCTCAAATATAGGCTGCTACAGTACAGCAGGATGCATCAGGTGCCTCCATTGTTAGCAGATGCAGGCTCCAAGCTAGGTGATATGTACAATGTTAAATTAGTCATTTATAATCAAGAAATAGCTAAGAAATAACATGATGGGGCCAAACAGACAAACTGATTAACCTAACAACAAAAATTATTGCCAGTGTATCAATCACATATATTTTAGTTTTACAATCCACTTTCCCCAATAATAAGAAGAGATTCCTCTGAGGGATTGAAGCAAGATTTCTAAAATGTGGTAATCCTGCTGGATGCATATACCTACATGCTTCTAATGCATTTCTTTGACACTCCCATCTTTGGTTTAGTATCTCCTCCATGATGGTAATCACTAAAAAAAACCAACATGAGGCTTTCACATTCCTGAAAGGGAAAGGTTGATTTACCGCATCATGTGTTACTAGGTGTCATTCATGGCATCAAGAATCGTCTTTATGAATGAATGGATTACCTTCACTACAGGTGTTATAAGTGCTGAAATGTGTCTTAACTGAGAGATGATGAAGGGAATTTGTTGTAGTGTGAATGGGTAGGGTCCACATGCACAAGACAAATGATGCCCATGTAGGGAGGTAGAAAACGTGCACAGAGGATGGTAGGCTTGTAATGTAGCTTAAGTAGTTGAGGCGTCTACTTTACATACGATACTTGTTTGGTGAACTGCTTGTTCTATATATTAGGTGGCATAAAAAGTCATCCTCATTGATTGTGAAATCCACTGTGGATGATCTAGGTTCATGATGTTTTTGTATCACATTGGAAACACTGTACTAAACAATTTTTTTTCTGAAAGTTTCATGTTCCTAGGTTGTCAGAATAAAAATTGACAATTTCAAAGAGTAGTCATAAAATGTACCTTTTTCATGCATGAGTTGAATGGAGTTTCAGGATTGCTTGAATAATTTCTCTCACTTGAAGCCATAAAGACTGCTTTTTACGCCATCTCCTTGTCACTGTATTCTACACGTCGTAGAATAGTACTTCTATTGTAAATCGTAGTATCAGAATCAGTACTTCACATAGTACTACGATGAGAACTGGCATAAAAAGATGCATTTATGGTGTCAAGGGAGAGAAAGCATGTGAACAGCGCTGAAACTCTGTCCACCTCGTGCACAGAAAAGGTACATTTTATGACTCCACTTTGAATGACTATCAATTTTTTTTCCAACAACCTAGGAACATGAAACTTTCAGAAAACAAATTTTTTGGTTCTTCCAATGAGATATGAAAAGATCACAAACCTAGATGATCCACAGTGGGTTTTATAAATGGCAGTGTCTATTGGCCGAGCAGGCTCAGCCCTGACTTAAGGGACAAACTGGAAAGTCACCTGTTTCATGACATCTCCTTAGTTGATGAGACCAATACTCTATAGAAGAGAGCTCAGCCTCTAAGTTGTGGCTGAGTTGGCTTTCTGAAGTGGAAAGAATTTGTAAGGTTAGGCCTAAGTTATAAAAGATGTGTATTCCAGAGTGATAGCTTTCATCATATATTACTAGTGCCATGTGCACCTTTTTCAACAACTTCAACCAAAGAGTAACTATTAAGATCTAGGATTTGACAAAATCCTTAATAATCTATATTTTTAGGGTAGGGGGCTCACTCAAGTTCATAGTTGTGTATAGAGAAAAGAGCACTTAATGGATGATTTTAAAAGTTGATTTCAATTTACCCATGTTCCACCATGAGACATCTTAAATTAGTTAAGTTGCATGTCATCTACTTCCTAACCTGACCTGATATAAGACCTTTTAAGCAACCATGATATACTACAATAATGAATGTCTAATTTGGTGCTGATGAGGTGAAAAAGATTGCTCAAAGTCTTCCCACAAGGCAAACGAAGCAGCTTCCTCTACCTTGCAAGACATGCCTGTGTTTGGAGGGCTGCAGGAAACTGTATCATGTTGGTAGTGATGTTGGAGATAATTATTCCCAGCTCAGCCTTAAAGTCGGGGCCAAGCCAGCTCGGCCAATAGACACTGCCACAAAAAGCGTCCTGTTCGACTATTTATAAAATAGTCAAACAGGACGCTTTTTGTTCCGCCACCCGATATCGCTTGATAGTTCAGCCAAATTAATATTTTGAACCACCAGGTAATAGTTTAGTAATAACCTGTTGGAGAAGTTTTTGTCCAGGTCGACATAGGCTACGGGATAGCGATGCTAAACTTACTCTACCCTAGAGAACTTACCGGACAGGGAAGGCAGAATAGAGGAGTGCTTGAGTTTGATTCGATAGAGGGAGAGGATGAGATTTCTCCCAAGAAGGAGTTAAAGAAAGGGAATTCCGGACACCAGGAATGAGATTCCGACAGGCAAAGCACGCTTTCCTCATGGATGTTCCATACAGCGCCGCCATCTTTTTTTCTATTTCCCCTTTTCCCGCCACTTGTCAAGAATCGCGAATGGAAATTTGTAGCAGGAGTATTCTGTCTATCTGGAAGGAAAATTCCAACATGGGGTAGCTGTTTTTATTCGCAACCACTTCGAGGCATCCCAAAATGAAACAAAAACAATGCAGACAACAATGCCTAAGTGAAAAAGCACTGTGCAATTGGTCTATTATCGCTTTTATGCAATGGGTCTATAAACCTGTATTAGTGACTACAAAATAAAATGAATTCTTAATATTTTCTCGTACTGAGGATTGTACAATGTCACAGATTCCGTTACATATTTCCAAGCCCCTTCACTCTTCTTCATGCTCAATCTGCTCAACAAATTGGTACACCCCTTTCATTCGCATGGTCTACATGTTTCAAGTTTCATTCATTTCAGTATCGTACATCAGGAGATCAAGAAAAGGGGGATCTTAATGCTTTGGCGAATGAACAAAAAGACCTATACGAAACCCATTGAGCCAAATTTGGTAAATAAGGTATTATACCAAAGTAAGTTTTTTGGGGGTCTCAAGCACAGATGTAGTCATAAGGCATGAAAATGTTCCTAATTTTCAAAACACAAATCAATCTACGAGGTCTATTCGACTGACGTTTGCAAATTAAGCACTGATTCGTTTAAATAGCGTGTTTAAATTTCTGCAGGATTAAAAGGTTCTATGTCACTTCGACGGACACTTCTCCGCCACTTACCCGACTGAACTTCTTTCTTTGAAATGCTTTGGTCAGATGGGGTTCTGCCAATTTGATATTCTAAAATTTAGTTGAAGAAACGCCCAGTCGAAGGAGCGTTCTGGTGGAAGAACCAATATGGAGTATGTCACTTTCAAAAATGCATTATCACGTGATGAAATGTCCGCATAGCAAATCTAACATCACTGAACCCCATCTGACAAGAGCCTGACAAAGAACACAAACGTCCAGTCGCAGAATTGTCTCATCGAAGTGGCGGAGAAGTGTCCATCGAAGTGACATGGAACCAGATTAAAACGCTTATCTTACTAAACAGTACCTCCCAGAAAAAAAAACATGCTGTATGAGTGACTAGATATGGGTGGTAAGTTAATTGCAGTTGCTATGAAAATTTTATCAATTGTATCACAGGCTCACCTTATTGATAGTGGATCGCAACACGTGACCACATCCCAGTCAGCAATATATGTGTGGCGTATCTGTGGAAGCTGTGACGTTTCTGTGGCTCTTCAGTGGTTAGACTATCTCAGGAAGGTCTTACACACTTTGCCCGCGCTTGGCGGACATGGATGTTTCATGCACTAGTGCAATCCGACTGAAGATCACTGAAAACTTTTGCAAATGCTTTGAAGCTTTGATGAGAACCGTACGTATCATTTTGAGCATGAGATGCATAACTCAAAAATGACTGCGAAGATCCAATGTGCCAAAGTTGCACTTGGGAGTTTTTGGGAAATGTTAAAATTCTCCTCCGTGCCATTAGATGGAGGTGTGTCTCGCTTTTCCCATAGTACACAAAAGTGCCTTCCCTCTTTCCCTGGAATCATTCATCAAAGGAGTATTTAGTACCTAACCATATGTCTTGCCTAATCTCATTATAGAAATCAATAAACGCGGGCGCTTCTTCATTTATTATCCCCGTATTCGAGACAGATTGATGGGGCCCAGGCTATTAACAAGGTCATATTCGCAATAAGAAACCTTTACTCAACGCATCGAGGACCGGCCCTGTAGTAACACGGTTTTTCCGATCCATGCGTCGAGGACGGAACCCGTGTAAACACGGATTTTGCACATGAAGAAGAAACAAGCCTCTTTTCACAACTGCTGGGTTTTTTTCTAACTTATTGAACACATGCTCTTGATTAGGAAGCTTTAAGCTTTGAAGCTTTTAAATTTGTGACAAATCCATTTAAAACTTTAGGAGTTAAAGTTATTAGTGCTACAGTGCGTTTTGCACTTCAGTATGCTTAAAATACCCGGGAACCAGGGCTATGGTAACAATTCCGTCCGGTCCTCAATGTGGTAAATTAGAATATCTCATCCAAGAGGAGTTCTAGAACAACAATATGCTCGCAATAACAATGCACCAGTTCTTCATCCTGAGGTCGGAATGAGGAAACTTGGAATTGAACACCAAGGGATGGACCTTTCCCTGAAACGTACTATAATTAGTATTATGATTAGGTCGCCGCAGAAAAAGGGGACATACGAGGGATTTCTCAAAAGTTCTGCCAGTAGCCCACAAGTCGTCATCGGAGGCGGCCGCAAAGTGCTACTTTGGGGTTACTGGCAGAACTTTTGAGAAATCCCTCGTATATGGAGTGGCACGTGCATACACCTCGTTCGTGTCATGCTTGCACATGCAGATACGCAATCATGGCACTGCTTGCCGCGTGCTTGCCATACACATGAACCACACTTGGGCCACAGATATATTAGACTGGGTGCCACAGAACATGCGGACATTTAGGTTACGCCCTATGCATATTAAACCCGTGGCGCACGTGTACATGTGTGGCATGTGAACGTGGGCCAAGCTTGGAACATCTGACTGTGCAGAGATAAACACCCTTGACCTGGGGATGAATTGCTGACTGGGATTACAATCAATGCATGTGAAATAAAATGAAACTTATGCGCGAAACTTATGCAGTACACTTATTCAGTGGCGTGCCCAAGGGGAGGGGAGGTTTGGGATGGGGGGGGTTTATTCCCCCCCACCCCCCCTCTTGGGGTACATTTTATAGGTTCAATTCTAAAAAAGAAAAATTAATTTGGCCATAAATACAGGATGGGTTGCCAATTTTTCATGTGTCAATCCCCCTCCCCCCCCCCCCCCCATTGAGATTTTCTGGGCACACTGCTACACTTATTGGTACTGAAGAAAGTACCTGTATATTAGCACTTTGTAGAAAATTAACATACGGACGTGAAATCTTAGGACAACAGCCAAAGTCAAATAGCTTTGTTATCCTCAAAGTTGTATCATTTGAGTTGCAAAATTTCAGGAAAATGTTCCTCTCTTGTCTCTTGTACGACACTGTTTATGGACTTTTTTTTGACTCAATACCACCCATAAAGAAATAAGTTCGTCATGCACGTTTCGACTCTGATTGGAACTCAAGTGCCATCTATCGTTGACAGTGTGAACTTCATGGAGGAAGGCATTAATATTCATTAATATTTATTCATATTAAGACTTCATTAATATTTTGAGTGAGACAGCTTCCTGGCACTCCAAAAGTTCTCGCCAAATGGCGTTAAATGTCCCCTGATCATAATGAAAATGTTTGATATTGTTTTCAGGGATTTAATGAAATTCGATGATTTTAGACATTTTTTGCAAAATGCGACACGTTGCATAAGGCCAAAAGAGGTCACTTCCCGAGGCAGATGACCTTAACCTGTGGAGATCTGCAAGTGGTGATTTGATATGGTTTCCAAAGGCGCCTAGCTGCGAAGCAGTGTATTGCAGGGCTGAAATCATGACTGGGCGATCTTACCCCGTCTATGTGCTTTGTGGTTTCGAAAGTTGAGGTATGGACATTTTAGCCTGGAGGATGAGCCCCGTGAAGGTCGTCTAATTTCAGCAAGTGGCAAAATAAATGTGGCTGAAGCACAGAGTGTACGAAGGTAGTTTGACTAAGTGAGAGTCTCAATAAGGAAGCACTTTGAGTCGTTAACTACCATTTATTTTTCAACGTAACCACCATTAATGCTACTACATTTCAACCATCTTACTTTACACTTGTTTGCACCAGCTGTCCAGAATTCCAAAGGCATGTTGTCCAACCATCTCATCACAGTCTCCTGCACTTCATCAGTCGAAAATCTTTTTCCTTTGAGATCTGATTTCAAACATCGAAACACGTGGAAGTCGATAGGGGCCAGGTCCGGCGAATATGGTGGATGAGGGTGTTCTTCGAACTTGTATTCACCCAAAGCTTGCTGCGCAATGTGGGCTTTGTGTGGTGGCGCATTGTCGTGCAACAGCAGAACTCCTTTCTTCGACTTGCCGCGACGTTTCTCTTTGATCGCCGTGCGCAATCTGGACAAAATGTTGGCATAATATTGGCCAGTGATCGTCATCTTCGGTTGCAAGAAGTCGGCAAGCAAAGGTCCCTCCGCATCCCAAAAGAGGGTCAGCATGACCTTCCCTGCTGATTTGACCATGCGCGCCTTGACCGGTGGCTGTTTTCCTTTCTCTGTCCACTGCATCGATTGCTGTTACGTCTCAGGATTGTGGTGATGAACCCAGGTTTCATCCCCAGTCACTAATCTGGCACGAAAGTTCTCCGGATCCGCATCGAAGCGTCGTAAGAGATCCAAACTCAGCTGCGCCCGATTCTGCTTTTGCTCATTTGACAGCAATCGGGGGACCCATCGGGCGCAGACCTTTGATAGGCCCAATTATTCTTGCAAAATGAAATGAACACGTTCAGTGCTGATGCCCAAAGTCTCCGCTATCTCGCGCACTTTCGGTCTTCCATTTGCCATCAAAATCCGTTGGACCATGGCCACGTTTTCATAAGTGGTAACTGTTGTTGGCGCCCCATTGGACGGTTGTTCTTCGAATGACTGGCGACCACAACGAAAATGACTGATCCAGCGTACGACCGTACTGTATGGTAAAGCATCGACCTGGTAAACATTGACGAGCTCTTCATGAATCTGCGTCGCATTCTTGTCCTGCCGCGTCAAATATCGGATCACTGCACGCTGCTCAACGGCAAGATTTTCATCCATTTTCCAAAGATGGTTTAAATTCGAATACTATATCTCCTGATGGGAACAAGCTACCGAGCTCAAACTTGGCCCGCAGCCTTCTGATATGTAAGGCTGCTTTGTTATAGGTTAAACCTTGCCGCACATAGCGCGTAATTGAGATTCTCACTCATTGTCAAACTACCCTCGTATATACAGGGCGAATATCTCCCAACGTTTGACTCAATAGTGCTATTATATATAGCAGTCCTAATTATTT